TAAAATATCAAAATGAGGTGGTTTGATAAGAAAAGCAAAATTAAAATTAATAATACAACCTGAGTGGCTGTTAAAGGTGTTTCAGTTCATAATTGTATTCAAAGAGTGGTACTTGCTCAGGCTGGCAGAAAGTGTGAGGAGACTTGGGCGCCTGCTGGCATTGCAAGCTGTTCTTGTGTCCGTGTTCAAGAGGCGCAGCAACGGCCCAATTAAGTAGAGGAAATAACTGACCTCAAGGAGGAAGTCTAATATTTTCCCCCTTTAATTGGGACATACTAATCTGGTGCTGGGAACCATTCAGAACATAAGCAGCATGGGATTCCGATAAGGGGAGGAACAAAACATGGCAGAGGAATGAAGCCGTTTAACAATAGTGGGATCATTTTAGAGCCGTGCTTTGAAATATGCACTGAACAACCCCAAACGATACGTTGGAGGGGAATATTTAGCAGGTATATGATGCAGCCTCTTGGGAAAAGGAAATGATGTGTGGAGCTTGCTTTTCTCATTTGGAGAAGTTTTTGACCGCTGCCAGAGCTAGTGCTGGGCGACGGCAGGACTGAGGTGTGCGAGGGGGCTGGCGACTTTTGCCCCCTGGGAACGGGTTGCTTGTAATACGTCCCAGTGAATACAAATATGATGTGATCCAAAACTGTGGTCTAGACCTGCCAGAAGAGGGTTGGAGACCTTGTTTGCCAATGGCAGAGGAAAGCTATGGCAGTTTGCCAGGCGGTGACAATGCAATTAGGCACCCTGTCCCCTGCACGGAGTTTATTACAGGTTAGCATCTTCTGTGCCAGCCAAGCTGTTCAGCAGTGCCCGGGCAGCCGGCGCTGGGCACTGCGGACCTGTCACGTAGGAAAGCAGGATCCCGTTTGCATTCAGCACATGGACTTGCCACCTACCTGCGCTTGGGGTCTCCATGAACAGAAGTGTTTACCAGCGCCACTCTGCTGCACGCAGCTTCTGTAGCTTGGCCAGCTGTGTGCTGAGTCAGCTGGCAGAGGAAGCCGGAAAGATGTTTGTATTGATGAATATCCACCTTTGAAGCTAGGATTTGCTGCAATTCTCATTTTATGGAGGGTGTTTAAAAGGTGCTGCTCTGCCCTTGCAGTCAGAGAAAATCCCATTTGTCAGAGGTGTTTTGCATTATTTAAATGGAAGATGGTGTTCAGAGGGCGGCTGGGTGGTGCAGCAGCAGATGGGAGTGTTTGTGCTGCTAGACTAAGGCTCAGTGGGGGGTTTCCTCACATGATGGAAGGGTGTTTGGTGTACTCATTGCTCTATCATACCACACAGAATCTTTAACACTGTGTTGCAGTGTCTTAACTATTAAATGATGTATGTTACTGAGCAAATATTTCTGATTTTTGTTGTTTGTGTGGTTTTTTTTTTTTTTTCCCAAAACAAGCATAGCCACAACATTATTTTTTTGTTGTTATTGCCTAAGCATGCACTGTTTTGCATGGACTGGCCTTGATTCACTGCCAAAGTTAAAAGTTATCAGCTTTTCTTCTCAAGGATCTCACTTGTCCTCTTTTTCTTCCATTTCCTTCTGTTACTGGTTCGGTGCCTTATCTATGTTCTGGCATAAGATCATCCCGAGAGGCTCCTGTTGGTGTGAGTCAGGGCTGTGAATGTGTTTCATCCCGTGGCCTGCATCTTGGGAGTGAGTTTTAAGTTACACTTTGCACCTTTCAACTCAGCATTACAGAATATTGCAGCGAATCCTCGTGACGCTTTTCTTCCTGTAGGAACTGGACTTTAAACCTTCTGTCAACCTCTTGTCAAGCACGGCTGAATCCTTCCAATTAGTTTGCTTGGCCCTGGTGCTGTGAGGAGTCAAGCTGAGCCGGGGAAGGGGGAGTGGATGGTGGTTCTAATTCTGAGTCCCAGTGATACCCCGGCAGCATTTCAGAGCAGTTTCACTCCTAAGGTGGCCAGGAGTCGCAGCAGGAGCTGTGACACAGCTAACATTTTACACTGTCCATCAGGGTGACGGTGGTCCTTTGGGTTTTTGGGTTTGGTTCTCTTTTCCATTCACCAATTTTTCTGCCCCAGTGAGGAACCTCTCTTCTGCAAAGTTACGAAGAGTGTAAAATGAAGGCAGTCTGCTACTTGCCCTGTGTTTGACTTCTTCAGCAAAACAGATTTCAGTTGCGTGGTGTGGGGGTTTTGTTTTGTTTTTTAGTTCTAGTGTTGTGAGAAGGATGTGAAATCCAAACAGCCCCTGACTTTTTCAGTGATAGCCATGTATCCTTCCCAGAGGAGGAATGTTCTCCCATGTTGGGCAAAGGAGACTGAAATTTAACAAGTGAAAGTCAAGTCTAATGTCTGTTCATAATGCCAGTGAATGTGGCAGCTCTCATTCGCCAGAAATATCCAGACTTGGACAGTAGACCTGTGACAAGGGTGGGGGTTTTGCCGTTCTTTTCCTTTCCGGAAAACAACCGTTTATTGCAGGTGATTGTCAGTGTATTCTCTATGTCTGGAACCTGATTCTCATGTCGTTTTTGTCTTGTAGTTGTACTTATTGGAGACTCTGGAGTAGGCAAGAGTAACCTTCTGTCTCGATTCACTCGCAATGAGTTTAACTTGGAAAGCAAAAGCACCATTGGAGTGGAGTTTGCGACAAGAAGCATTCAAGTTGATGGGAAGACAATAAAGGCTCAGATATGGGACACAGCAGGGCAGGAGCGATACCGAGCTATAACATCGGCGTAAGTGATAGCTTGTATGGCTGAAGGGAAGCTTTTGCTGAGGAGGGTAATTTTGGGCCCTTCTGATTCCTCAGAAACTGCAGATGGGGTGTTTGTATGTTATCGTGTCATATCCACAGCCTATGGTGGAAGGAAGCTTAAATATTACTTAGCCCAGAAACTCGATATGGTGTGTCCCTGCACAAGCTGGTTTACTTCTCAGTGCTCTCGTGGTACGTAACTGGAGGCATTTCAAGCCTGGTATGCAAGAGCTTGGAGAGACTCATTTCAGTGCAAGCGATTGATAAAGTAGTATCAGTGTTCATGGAGGTTTTGTCGTGGGTAACCTAAGACCAGAAACCCTCCTGCAGCAGGAAGGAAAGACTGCTCGCTTTGCCTGCTGATTGAATTGGAACAAACCAGCGTAACAAAAGCTGGATTTGAGTAAAGCTGGAGGTAGTTGTGGGGTGGGAGAACACAGCCTGTTTCTTTTTGAATGCGTTACTGTGCCTGTCTCTGGTCTGAAAGGAGACCAGCTGTGGCCTTTTGTAAAGGGGAATAGATCAGACTGACGGTTTTTATGAGCCAGTGAGTCATTCTAAAGTCTCTCTATCACTGTGGGTTGTGCCTGTACTGCACCCACAATGATGGGTGGGGGAGACTTTTCAGGAGTGGATCAGAGGTTGAAGGTGACAGTAGCTCCCCACAGATTCCAGAGCTTTGTTTCTGGGATGCAGGGCTCTCCCCACAAACATGGGGTTTGACTTACCCCCTAGACTCCGAGCTGTCCTGGCTGCTCTGGTGGTCCTGTGGCATAACCCTAGTCTGGGTGCTCTGCTTCGCTGTTTCAGGTCCCGCAGAGCCTGCTTCTGGGTCTTCTTTTTGGTGTAGCTGTCTTTGCAATAATGGGAAGGGCTATTACTCAGTAACTTACCACTTTTAATCATGACGTTTCTTGCTGGTTCTTTAACATGTCTCTTCACCCGCAGGTACTACCGCGGAGCTGTAGGGGCGTTACTGGTGTATGACATTGCTAAGCACCTTACTTACGAGAACGTCGAGCGGTGGTTGAAAGAGCTGCGAGACCACGCTGACAGCAATATTGTAATCATGCTTGTGGGAAACAAGAGTGACTTGCGCCACCTGAGAGCGGTCCCTACGGATGAGGCCAGAGCTTTTGCAGGTTGGTGAACTCAAAGTGATGCTAACTGTGTGGGGATCTGCCTACCTTGAGGCAGATGAGCTTAAAGAAATCCGGGAAGCTTCCTCGCACAATTCTTGAAAATGCAACAAATTCTCATTTTCGGTGATGCAGGAGGATG